AGGTGAGGCCAGGCTGAGCGGGCACCCGGGAGGCTGGCCCGCTGTCTGGGAGTGCCGGAACCTCCACTTTGGGGCTTTGCAGCGCGTGGCTGGCACCCCTGAAGGGGCTGGGTGCCGGTGGGGCAGGAGACCCCTGGTTCCGGTGTGAGGCTCGCTCCAGGCCAGGGCGTGAGGAGGCCTGGGGCAGGAACCCGGCCTCCCAACCCCGTCATGCCTACCCCCATGAACCCACCTGAGGGCCTGAGGCCTGGCCCCTCCCCTGCTCTGCTCTGTCTCACGGGCGCCTACTGGGCCTCAGTGTCCCCCCTCTCTGTAAGGAGGAGACAGGCAACAACCCCCGGAAGGAGACAGAGGGGAGGCCCCAGCGCCCAGCCCTGAGCGGAGGGTGCCTGACCTGGCCCGTGGGCGGCCGGGTAGACGGCAGCCCTCTAGGCCGGGACTGCGCCTCCCCGCACCCACGTATACGAGGTCTGGAAAGCCCAAGCAGCCACGTCACCTGTGTGACCACATCATGCGGGGCCCTTCTGAAAGGGGCGGGAACGGCCACTGAGGATGAAGTGCCATACGGGGGTGGGCGGGGCCCTGACAAAGCCAGGGAGCAGAGACCCCACGGCCACCCAGCCCAGCCACGAAGGGAAGCCCACCCAAATCCGGCTCCCACACATGGCTGTGGGCCGGCGGCTCCGGTCCCCATGGCCCCAGGGCCAGTGAGAGGAGGCCGGCGGCAGGGGCGGGAAGCCAAGGCCCCAGGCAGGCAGATCAGGGCTGGGCCTGTGGAGGGCGCCCCGGGGGGGCCCCTCCGCCCTCCCGCCAGAGCCTCGCCAGGGAAAGGTAGCAGGCAGATCACGGTCCAGGCCACACCACCCCTTCCAAGCTGCGGGGCCCGTGGGACACGTCCCAGCTCCTGAAAGGGGCACCTGGCCCCCGGCCGCCATGGCAGCATGTGAGGCGCCAAGCCCCGGCCAAGTTCCGGGGCTGTCTGTGACCCTGGCGGTGCCATCCAGGCGGCAAACGACAACTCGCTCGCGCTGAGGAGAGGAGGGGCGGCATCTATCCCTGCCCTGACGGCCGCGCGAGTCACTCTGGGCGGCCAACGTGGCCTGGCCGATCAGCAGGGCTGGAGGCAGGGAGGGCCCAAGCTCTCTCAGGACCCGGGTTCCCAGGATCTGGGGCCGCCCCGCCAGGGGGCTGTGGACGCCCAGCGTAGCCCCTGCCAGAGCGTCCTGTGCCCCCTGCCGGACGCTGGAGTCTCAGTTGAGGTCCAGGTGAGCCGAGGCCTGACGCTCAAAGAAACACCTCTGGGAACACCGGAAAGCTGCCTGGAAGAGGAGTGGGGCGCTTGTCCCGCTCAGTACCAGACCATTCCCTCGATAAAGCGCAGAGCCACGGAGGAAGGGAGGGAGGAGACAGACACTCAGGAAGCTGCCCAGCGGGGTGTGGTGGCTCACACCTGTCATCCTGGTGCCAAGGCAGGAAGGTCGCTGGAGCCCAGGAGTTCAAGACCAGCCCGAGCAACACAGTGAAACCCCAACTCTGCAAAAATACAAAAATGAGCTGGGCACAGTGGCGCATGCCTGCAGCTCTAGCTACTCGGGAGGCTGAGCCAGGAGGATCCTATGAGCTCAGGAAGAAGTCGAGGCTGCAGTTAGCTAGGATAGTGTCACTGTACTCTAGCCTGAGCAACAGAGTGAGACAAGAGAGAAAGAGAGAGAGAGAGGAAGAAAGAAAGAACCTTCTGGATCAGACAATGTGGGAATCCAGCAACCTGACCATGGAGCCCAACCTCAATTTCCATGTCCCCTACAGCCCGCCCTGGTTCTGTGCTAAGTGGACACACGCGGCACACTCTGCAGAGGAGAGGAAGGCCGGCGCAGAAACGACACCGTCCTGCAGGCCTCCCGTCCACACCGCTCAGCGGTGGCTATTCTTAGGTGCAGGGCTCCAAAATTAAAACAGAGGAAGCGCCGGCTCCCGCAGTGGCTTGGAACTTACCTGAATGTAAGGTTCAAGCCACAAAAATCCCACAGCCAGGAATGGCGCTGCATCGCTGTGTCCGTGGTGGCAGGAACTCGGCTTACGCAACTGAGGCCGGGTGCGCCAGAGGGGACAGGAACAGCCATGTCCTCTTGTGCTCCCCAAACTGCCCAGCCACCAGGAGGGAAGCTGTCTCAAGCACCCTCCCACATGGAGAGAGGGGTCCCAGGAGAGGGAGTCCATGACCGCCGCGGGGCCGGAGGTCCCGGGTGGAGATGGGAGCCAGAGCCCCCCCCACGGGCAGAAGGTCCCTGGGCGGAGATCGGAGTCTGGAGTCAGTGCCCTCCGCCTCACACACACACAGGGAGCGGAACCAGGTGGACAAGAGTCAGCACCTCCCCCCACGAAAACAGAAGATCGCTGGGTGGAGGCAGGAGGCAGCAGCCCCCTCACCAACACAGGCAGAGGGTCCCCAGGTGGAGGAAGGACTCGGCACCCCGGCTGGCAGAAAGTCCCCGGGTAGAGACGGGAGTCGGTGCACTCTCCACGCTGGAAGAGGGTCCCCAGGCAGAGATGGAATCAGCATGATTCAGACAAAGACGGTGGAGGGCAGCGCCCCCAGGGTTCCTCCTCCAAGGGCCCAGCATTTGCTTGGTGCCCCGGGGTTTCCCTGGCAGTGCAGGAGCCCCTGGTGTCTGGTACAGATGCCCGAGCACTGCTCGATGAAGGCGCAGATGAGGAACTCCTGGGCATGGGGCCTGACAGCACAGCTGCCTGGAAGGTCGTGCCGATCTGACACCTCACCCGGGACCCTCGGCTGTCAGATCCCCATTCCATCTGGACGCTGCACTCCCCAAGAGGGGCACCCGGGCTGGGCTCATTCTCCAAGCTCAGAGGGTCCATCCTGAGCCTAGGGGCTGTCCCCCAGGCCTCTCCCAGAGCCCCAAGGCCACAGCTTCCTCCTCAGGACCTGCCCCCAGCTGGACTGGCCCACAGGAAGGTGGCCAAGCCTGAAGACACGGCCACAAACACCGAAATGCTGTCGTGCCAGGTGGGCTACGGGCACGGGGCGGGTGGCTCTGGGCACGGGGCCATCCCAGGGAGGAGGGTGCAGAGGAGAGAACAGGGCTCTCCCGACACCACCCTCGAGTCCCCTCCAGGGCAGGGTTGGACAGCCGGGATCCTGGGCCCGCACGAGAGGGCTCCAAGCAAATGCTGTCCTGGGCTGCCCTCGGCCCCGTGCCCCCGGCTGCCCGGTGCTCCTGGGTCACCCCCGGCCCGGCGATCACCTCTGGGTAAGGAGATGTCCTAAGAGCGTGGCCACCAAAGAACAGGCGCTGGGCTCCTGGCACCGCGGGCAGGGACAGGAAAGAAGGGGCTAACGCCGGAGACGACAGTTGGCCCCCCAGGCATGAGGGCTCCCCACAGACTGCAGAGAAAACTCCAAGCCACGAGGGAACCCCCTACTGTGACTGGGTGCCCAGACTGTGAGGGGGCCCCTCCAGACCACAAGGGAACCCCGGACCACGAGGGGATGCCCTGAACCATGAGGGGATCTCCAGACCAAGAGGGACTCCCCAGACCACGAGGGGACCCATTTGGACCACGAGGGGCCCCCAGACCACTGGGAGACCCCGAGCACCCTCAGACCACAAGGGAGTCCCCCAGACCACAGGGAGACCCGCACCACGGGTGGACCCCCTCAACCATAAAGGGACCCACAGACCACGAGGGGACCACCCAGACCATGAGAGACCTCCTAGACCACGAGGGACCCCCAAGACCACCAGAGGACCCCCAGACCACAAGGGACACCCCAGGCCGTGAGAGGGCCCACAGACCCTGAGGTGGCCCCCGACCGCGAGGGCGCCCCCACGAGGGCATACCCCCAGACCAGGGCAGCAGGCCTGGCGAGCCCAGGATTACCAGCCCACCCAGTGGCCCCAGGCCGGCCCAGAGAAGCAGGTCCATGCCATCTCCACTACTGCCTGGCTCAAACTCTGGCAACAGCACCCCAAGTCAAAATGAGGTTCTGTGGAGGCTGCGCTTCTTGCTGGTCAGAACCCCCTGCCCGTGACAGTCTCCTCACCGTCCACAACACTTAGGACACCCCAGGACCTTTGCATGTGCTGCCCTGCAGCTGTGCTCTGTCCCTGGACAGCCTCTGGCTCCCTGGCTCCCTGCCCCAAGGCTTCAGCTCAACAACACCTTTCCAGGGAGGTCTCTGAGGCCTTTTAATAAACCAGCAACCCCCTCCCCATGCCCCAGTCCCCCTCACCCCTGCTCTGGTCTTTCTGTGTAAGAATGGCACCCTCTGAGGGGTTCACTGCTGCCCCTCCACAGGTCAGCTCTGCCTCTCTCCCTGACAGGCCTGCGCCTAGGACAGGCCTGGCCGGGAGAGTACGAGGGGAGGACGTGAAGGGCTTCCTCCCCCCAGAGGGTCTTCTCCACTCGTGAGCTCACCCTCAGCGCCCCCTGCGAGTCCCCGAAGCAGCCCAAGCCCCGCCCGCCCCACCGCGGGTGCAGGAGCACAGGCAGGAGATGTGTGCGTATCCATACACGGTACAGGGTGCCTTGCTGCGTGGAAGAAGAAGCCCAGAACACATGGGCAGCCCCACACACGGGAAGTCTGGGGAGCGCAGCGGGCCGCGGCACAGCGGCCCCCCTAATCACCCCCTCTGCGGCACCACCTTGGGAACTGGCTCCCTCCTGCACGAGACCACCTGGTTCGAGATGGCAGCTGCAGATCCAGCCATTCCGTAAGATCCCGATAGGGTCCGACCCTTCTGTGGCGCACTTTCAGCAGGGGATGTAGAACCGTTTGCACGGGAGAGACCGTGAGGGCTGTGGAGGAGCTCCAGACGGCCGGAGGGAGAAGGGGCACCTCCCGGCCGCCGGCCTTCCAGACCCTGGCCAGCACTGCCCGCTCCTCTCCTGGGCCGCTCTCTCAGAGAGGCTTCCTCCAGGCCCAGCCAGCGCAAAGAGACCTGCCCGGCCCCGGGACCCTGCCACGGCCGGCCACTCACCATGAGGATGCGGCGGTAGCTGTCCCGGTCGATGCCCCAGAGCTTGAGGTCGGTCTTGGCCTTCACCGTCGCGGCCCTGGGGGTGCCATAGATGAGGGCCAGCTCCCCGAAGCTACCTCCCTCGCTGATGCTGGTCACCCACTCTCCGTTCACGAACACCTTCGGAAACAGGACGGGAGCCACGTCAGGGGAGCCACGGGGGACGCTGG